TTAGGGCTTAGGGTTTATAGGGTTTATAGGGTTTATAGGGCTTATAGGGTTTAGGGTTTAGGGTTTAGTTGGAAACCCCTTAATTAAGGAATATACCTTAAATCATATTAAGGATCCTATTATAATTTAAGGTCTATTTCCTTAATTAAAGGGTTTTGGAGTCTCTGGGTTCTCTGTCCAGCACTAGCAAAAAACATGGTAATAGTGACAGCAGCATCGCAGAAGCAGCAACAATGATGATAATACACTAGAAAGAGTACTGATAATCACAACGACAGTAACCGTTAACAAAGTAATGGTGATAGTAAGGCCAATCGTAATACGGTTGATGATATAAATCCTGCATCACACATAATAATGAATATACCATAATTCCCTATTTGAGGGTCCTAAAGGTAATGCAGGATTTATATCATCAACAGTAGTATTCAGAAAGAGCCCCAACAGGGCCGAGGACTGTTGAGGGGTTTCAGGAATCAGCCGATGGACATAGTGTCATAGGGTTACGGTTTTGGATTCAGGAGATAACGAGGTTTAGGATTCTAGGCGTTAGGAGCTAGGGTTTAAAATAAGGTTTAGGGCTAAAGGCTGTTGGGTCCCCGCCCCCCAATGCCTCATCGTAGTGACGCCGCTCCTCACAGAGTTTCCAAGTCTCTGCAATTCATCGCTTAGCACTTTCCCATGGCATTATCCCAGAATCTTGGAGTTTGGGGTTTGGGGCCCCTACGGGTTTCTATGAGGTTTACTAAATGCAAGGCTTCATACCCTAAACCTTGAACCCTAAACCCATCTCAGAATCTAGCGAAGCGCTCGGTTGTCTATACCCTTACTTTCCAAGTAAGCCAGGGAAATAAAAGGTTACACTTTCAGGTTACTACTGAAGTATAAGAACCCAACAAGTTTAAAAGTTGGGTATTTGGGAACTTAAGTACCTTCCAGTCCTCCAGAACCCCAGCGGCCGCATCGTCGTCACGGACATCATCGTCATCTCCTGAGGATGCCTGCCCAAAGGCTCCAAAACGAAACGGTTTAGGGTTTAGGGTTTAGGGTTTAGGGTGTAGGGTTTAGGGTTTGGGGCGTTCGGGTATAGCTTAACATATTCAAGTCTAGGCCAGGAACTTGGAACATCAATACCCCCATGCCCTTAAGATAAAGTATAGAGGGTCCCAGCACTCATCAGTCTAAATCCATCTTTCAACTTTCTGGGAACCACTATAACCCCAACTAGCCTACCTGTTTATAGGTAGTATTATTAGGGGTACCCCTTAAAGGGTACCCCTTCTGAGCCCTACTTTTGGCTCTCTTAAAGGGGACCTTATTGAGAGGGTCTATATCCCCAAGGGTCCCCCTAATCCTAGCTCCCAGTTTAAGGACTGTTTATCAGGAAATCATGGTAAGGAGCCCTAGAAAGCTAGGCTGTATAATATGGTCCAGGTAGTTCTGAACTAACTGGGCTTTGAAGTAACCAAGGAGAAAAATGTATAGACTTTTATTTTATAATGGTTCCCTTAAGGAACAGGTCCCCCAAAAAAAGTATTCAAGTATGGCACTCCAAAGCCCAGCTATGGGGTGCAGGGAGGTTTAAAGTTTAGGCTGTTAGGCTTCAAGTCCCAGGAAGTAGTGTCATCATTTGGTCCGGCCTACAGAGAGGTAGCCATGTTTCCCAGTTTAAGGGTTTAGGGTTTAGGGTTTAGGGTTTAGGTCGTATAAGGTAGTAGCATGGCTAATTTATGCATATGGTTAGTTCTCCAAATCAGGGTCCCTTTAAGTTCCCAAACACAGTACGGCACCCTTATAAAAAGGACCCTACTTTTAGAGAACTACGGTTAATGATATAAATCCTGCATTACCTTAAGAACCCTAAACTATGGGAATTCTGGTATATTCCTTATTTTTGGGCAATGCAGGATTTTTATCATCAACCGTACCGATCTAACCTCCACGCAGCGCTGAAGTCGGACAAACACCCATGCCCGGAAGAGAGATCCAGGCTCCAGCACCCGCAACTCTCTCCCTAAACCCCAAACCCCACACCATACTAAAACCCAAATCACTACACCCTACAAAACCCCAGAACAACCTGACCCCTAAACTTAAATCCGCAACTCGAAACCATACTAATCCCTAACCCTAATCTAAGCCAAAATCCCGAACCGTAAGCCCCAAGCCCTGTAAACCACAATAAACCCTAATCCCTATAAACCCTAAACCCTAAACCCTAAACCCTAAACCATAAACCCATAAACCCATACTAAACCACACTTAAGCCCGGCCTAGCCCGTCAGCCCACAATCCTATAAACGCTATAAACCCTAAACCCTAAACCGTGTAATTAAACCCCAAACCCTTATAACACCCCGAAATACCCTCTAAGCCCTATGAACCCTCAGTGTTTAGGGCTTAGGGCCCTAAGCCCCAAACAGTCAGCCATATAAACCCTGATCGCAGAGAGACTCAGACAATAAACCCTATAACTAACCCCCCCAAACCAAACCCTATAAACCCTATGTAAACACCACAAACCCTATCATTAACCCTGCACCCTAGACCCTAAACCCTAAACTCTAAACCCTAAAACCCTAAACCCTAAATCCTAAACCCTAAACCCTAAACCCTAGGCCCTAAACCCTAGGCCCTAAAAACCCTAAACCCGAAACCCGAAGCCAGGCCTGTACGTTATTCGAGCCAAAGCGGTGAGCATTGGCCGGAGGTAGCCGCAAAGCTGACAAAGACGATGGGAACGCCTGGTTCAGGGCTTTTAGGTATAACAGGGTTAGGGCGTAATGTAGGTGTCTTTAAAGTTTCTAGGGTCTTGGACTCCTTTCTAGTTTGATTATGAACAGGAACGTATATAGGAGGTGGGTTTAGGGCTCAGGGCTTGTAGGGTTTAGGAAACGGGTTTCGGATGTGTTGATCGCCTCTTTTCCCCGCCACTCTCCCTTGCGGCAAAAGTGCAATGTCTGGCTGAGGCAGCCGGGCTGCGGACATGGTTTAGGGCGCAGGGTTTAGGGGTTTAGGGTTTAGGGTTTAGGGGTTTGGGGTTTTGGGGTTTAGGGGTTTAGGGCTTAGGATATGAACCCCAATAAATACCCCCCCCCCCCCATGAAGACGACACTCGAGCCTCATGATGCCCGATCAAACAACAACAAACCCTCTAAACCCTAAACCTTAAACCCTCTAAACCCCTAAACCCTTACAAGCCCGCTAAAAGATCACACAGACTGACGAATCCTCAGCCATCCCAGAACAGGAGATGCTGACCGCTTCATGGAAATAAACAAGTACATACCTATATGTGTGTGTGTGTATATATATATATATATCACCCTGAAACCACTAGGCCCGTCCCTAAACCCGATAAGCCCTACACCCGTATTTAGACACAAAGGTTGTCCCTAGACCCCACAGACCCCTCAACCCGTTAAGGGGTTTGGACAGTCTTCCTCAAAGCACTCAGTGCATTGACACCGCTTTCGTGGAGCACTGTAAGACGCCATTGCCAAACCCTCAAAAACACCTAGGTCACAACTTTTTGCAAATACCCTATACAGCTCTGCAAAACCACATAATACCATAGGAACACCTTTAAAACCTGTACGACACCCAAACCCTAAACCCTAAACCCTAAACCCTAAACATTGGACCTGGCCGACAGTATCAGTGCCTGCTCCAGAACCGACTCCGAAACCTTCTCCGAGTCTTGGCCGTCAATACGGACGTACTGCCTGCACGTGGGCTTTACAAGAGTTGTAGGGTTTAGGGTTTAGGGTTTAGGGCTTTACCAGAGACTCCAAAACCCCTTAATTAAGGAATTCACCGCATAAACTTTGATAGGAGTACTAATATGATTTAAGGTATATTCCTTAATTAAGGGGTTTTGGAGTCTCTGGGCTTTACAAGAGTCATAGGGTTAATACAGGGCACTATAGATGTTTTAGAGCTTTATAACTTAGAGTGGCTCCAGAGGTTGAAAAGGTTTAGGGTTTAGGGTTTAGGGTTTAGGGTTTAGGGTTTAGGGTTTGTTCAACACTGCCTGCAGCAGGGCATTCGGGGGATGTTGGCAAGGCATTGTGAGAAGATTTGTGAACCGATCTGAGGGGTTTTCCTGAATTGTTGATGAGAGCTGTTTCAGGGTTCTAACAGAGTTTTGTAAAGTACTTATATCGTTGTGTAGGGTGTTATAAGGTTTCTACTATAGGGGCCAGTATCTGGAACAGGCTTTTGGCGTCTACCTCTTGCGGGTATGGCCCGGTACGAGGTCCAAGGGCTTAATACAGCGTTTATGCAAAGGGCGCTGGGTTTAGGCTTAGGATCTAGGGTCTGGCAATTTAGGGTCTTGCTTAGGAGTACAAAGTAGAAACGTTTGGGGTATCCTGGGTGACTGCAACTCACGTTTGATCACGACATCCGGTTGGTAAGGACGCCACCCACAAACATCTGTCTCCTCTCTGCCCACGCCAGAACCTCAGCACACCACTGCATGAGTGAAAGACTTAAAGGCAGCATTTCCGGCACTAGATCGTAACCCGAAACCTCTGAACCCGTAAGTCACGATCCTACTACCTATAGAGGCCTTACCAATTAGAACAGGGTTTGGGGGTATTCTACTATTGTTATAACGGGGAACCGCCCAAATCATGTAGGTAATCATTTATAGGCCTCTACGTACATGAAAAACTGATAAAGCATTTCATCTGAGCTCCTCTGAGTCCACGACCGTCTTTCGCTCCGGAGCCACAGCACGTGGCGGGAACCGGAGCGCCATGCCGCGCCTCGTATCGTACCTGGCATGGGGAGTGCTCTTCGGGCCACTTTGGGGTTTGGGGATGAAGCACCTTAAACCCTAAACCCAAACCCTATAAACCCTAAATGGGGTTTAGGGATAAAGCATTTAAAGTTTAGGGTTCAGCGGCTTAAGTGAAGCTTCAACCCAAAATGGCACGAGCCTAGATAGTCAAGATTCACAAACAGCCCGTGACCGAAGGGCTGTGATCTAGATTTGCTCCAACTTCTTAGAACACTACGGCAGCGAAGAGGAACGCGTTCAAGCCTGTTTTGGTTTTGATCGACTGGAAAAGTCGCAAACATAAGCCCTCGCTGTGGGTTTAAAGTCTTGGAAACCCTTCCTTAAAGGGAGCGGGAGGCATGTAAGACAAGGGCGTGGTCAACAGATGCTGTTGGGCCCCTATCAATCCGACTGAAGCAACCCCAAGAAGTCCTAAGTGCCTATATAGTAGAATGTAGGGCTTCTATGTTAGGAATATGTAATATGATTTGGGAACGGATCCCCCCATAACAGTCCGTCGGACCCTTTGGGAACAATCCTCCTCCTACTCAGACTCCGACTCCGGGTCCTACTCCCACTTCCCTACTGCTACTCTTCATGTAGGGGCCCCTATGTAGGGGCCTTAATAATTAGAATAGGGTTTTGCGGAAACCCCCAAAATAGGATTGGTAATTATTTGTGGACTGTTTCTACTTAGGGTAATAACAATGACAGCAGTGGTTTCTTACATTGCTAGTACCTAGCCTTTTGTAGTCCTCATATATCCCCTCGTCTTGGAACATAATCACGCTCAAGACTCTAAGCCCTAATTAAACCCTAAGCCCCAAACCCCAAAAGCCCTCAAGACTCATGGCTTACCCCTAACCCCTGAACCCTGACCCTAAAGGCCCTAAAGGCACCTTCGGCGAATCGCGGGGTGTAATGTGGCGCACTTCCTCTCTTTGGAGGCGAGGAGCACAGGATCGATGGTCAAGCTTGGGCAGCTACAGGCTACTAGAATTAGGGCTTAGGGTTTAGGGTTCCCTAAACCCTAAAACCCAAAACCTGAACCCCAACACCCGAAACCCAGAGCAATTCGAGGCTCCTCCTCTTCCACAATGACCTGAGTCGGCACGGAAAAGCTCTATCAGCCGTGTGCATGTAGGCTTACGGGATTTATTTTAGGCTTTAGGGGTAATCCCAAACCGCAAACCGTAGCTGTTTCCTAAACAGTGTGCTGTGTGCTCGGAGCTCTTCACGGCCTATTCTTGAAAATTCTATCGTATAAGACAACACCTTTGCAAACCCAAACAGCATAGGGACCTTAACAATGACGATGTCATCGAAATATACAAGAAATAATATTGACGATTCAAGCCCCTGTTTGGTCACCCTAAACTCCTTAAACCCTCAACCCCTAAACCCCAAACCATAAACCCTAAACCCCTAAATCCCTAAACCCCTAAACCTCTAAACCCTAAACCCAAAGCCCTAAACGCTAAGCCCCTATCTTTGGGCCCAGAGACCGGATGCCGCACCTTTGCTGCATCTGCGGACGGAACCTTGCCGGCGCGAGCGTCCTGGCCCAGAAGGTTTCGGGTCTTGAATTTAAGGGTTGAGGGTTTATCGGGGTTTAGGGTTCAGGGTTTAGGGGTTTAGGGTTTAGGGTTTAGGGCTTAGGGTTTAGGATTTAGGGTTCAGGGTTCGGGGTTTAGGGTTTAGGGTTTAGTAGAGGAGCGGGGGAACGGGTCATTGGGACTACTACAAGGGACTATCATAGGCATCCGTTCCCCCATTCCCTACTAAGCACCAGACAGTTTAGGGCTTAGTGAGGTAATGTTCCAAGTTTGCCATCGAGTCGGGTGTAGGGCGTCAGAAGTCAGACAGAGTTGATCCTTCTTTTGTACGCTGCTCAGGGTTTAGGGCTTTCAGCGTGCACCTATCATGAGCAAGGGTCAATGTCATCAGCGACTTCGCACCTTTGCCGGCTCCATGTGTTGTACTTACTTTTCGGCCCACATGAAGGCATGAATGACGCAAGTTCGGATCGCAGCACGCTGGCACTGAAGCTCGGAAAGCCTCGCGGAGGGAAGTCTTGTGAGACCTCGGGCAGCTCATCTCAGGACCAACAGAGCAAATTTTGGTTTACAAGCCCTAAACCTTAAACTCTGAAACCCCTAATCCCTAAACCCCAAACCCCCTAGACCCTAAACCCTAAACTCTGAAACCCCTAAACCCCTAAACCCTAAACCCTAAACCACAAACCCCCTAGACCCTAAACCCTAAACTCTGAAACACCAACCCTAAACCTTGGGTGCTCAGGCGTCGGGATGTAAGGCCATGGGGCACATCAACGTCGATGTGCGCAACTTCGAAATCGACGTCTAATCCTAAACAACAAGCTCATGCATATGCGGGCCTTTCGAAAGTTCATACACCCTAAACCCTAAACCCGCCTGTGGGTCTTTTAGAGATTCCGACCCCTCAGCCCCTAAGTCTACGTGTCGCAGGCATTCCATGCAGCCGAAGGCACGTTCCTGAAGATGCCGAACTCATCCTTGGAGCTCTGTCTCATTTAGGGGTCTGAAAAGAAAGACTAGGGGCATTTCAAGGTCACGCTCGAAGTGAATGCACTTAAACCCTAAACCCTAAACCGTGGGAAGTGACTGCAGCAAGACTCCCTCCAGCGCTCATGCGAGGATGGTGAGTTCGCAAGCTTGGTAAACCCTACATGTAGGGTTTAGGGTTTAGGATTTAAGGGATTTTGGGCCCTAACCTCCAAAGAAAAAACCTTAATCGATCGGCGTCTGGCAAGACTGTCGGCCACAAAGCAAGAGGCGATATTTATACAGGAGTCTTCAGAAATTACAGCAGGGTTGAGAGGTACCTTATACAATAAAAATGTGCGGGGAACTGCATGGGCTACTGTTAGTAGGTACTCCGACCTCTATGTCTATGTTATGCGCACAAGCTCCCTGAACCCTAA